TGAAACGTTCCATTGTTTGGTTTTGTTGAATGGTATCATGTGTAGGAATCTAAAAAAAATAATAAAATAGATTTTAATGGCCCACAGTATTTTTAATTTTTGGAAGGCAATTATAATAATTCCTTTATCTGCTGAAACTTATCAGCAATATAAGATTTGCAATCTAATTTTTAGTTCAACTTGTTCTTGATTTTCAGTATCTTCAAGATGATTAGATGTTGAAGCAAATTGTTTATTTCCAGTATCTTCAAGATGGTTGGATGTTGTAGGAATAAGACTTTGTTCGTTCCTTTTCTTGATACGACAAAGTGCCTGTCTCTTTCTAGCTTTCTCCTTATGTTGTTTTATTATTAAAATTTAAAAATATAAGAATTACTCAATTTTATAAAAATAAGTTTAGTTTAAAATATTTATTATTGTGGACATAAAATAAAATTACTAAATATATACTTCATAAACATATTTATAAAAAATAATTTAAAATATTAGAATAGCCCCTCACCTAATAAATATATATTTCGGAATCACATCTTATAAGATAGGAAAAATCTGATCAGCTAACATACAATACAAATTAAAAAAAATATAAAATTTAATCTTGTTGAAGCAATAATGCCTTCTTTAGATTTTGGTGGTATGAAACGTTCCATTGTTTGGTTTTGTTGAATGGTATCATGTGTAGGAATCTAAAAAAAATAATAAAATAGATTTTAATGGCCCACAGTATTTTTAATTTTTGGAAGGCAATTATAATAATTCCTCTATCTGCTGAAACTTATCAGCAATAAAAGATTTGCAATCTAATTTTTAGTTCAACTTGTTCTTGATTTTCAGTATCTTCAAAATGATTGGATGTTGAAGCAAATTGTTTATTTCCAGTATCTTCAAGATGGTTGGATGTTGTAGGAATAAGACTTTGTTCGTTCCTTTTGTTGATACGACAAAGTGCCTGTCTCTTTCTAGCTTTCTCCTTATGTTGATTTATTATTAAAATTTAAAAATATAAGAATTACTCAATTTTATAAAAATAAGTTTAGTTTAAAATATTTATTATTGTGGACATAAAATAAAATTACTAAATATATACTTCATAAACATATTTATAAAAAATAATGGAAAATATTAGAATTGCCCCTCACCTAATAAATATATATTTCGGAATCACATCTTAAAAATATAAAATTTACTCTTGTTGAAGCAATAATGCCTTCTTTAGATTTTGGTAGTATAAAACGTTCCATTGTTTGGTTTTGTTGAATGGTATCTTGTGTAGGAATCTAAAAAAAAATAATAAAATAGATTTTAATGGCCCACAGTAATGTTCAACTTGTTCTTGATTTTCAGTATCTTCAAGATTAAGATGTGTAAATTGAAAGTATATGGTTTTGCTCGATGTGGTGTCTGTTAAAAAATATAATTATTTACTGATGATTGAAGGTTTTGCTCGATGTTGTGTCTGTTAAAAAAAATATCAATTATTGTAATTATTATATTATTATATGTTTTGTAATTGTTTTTTGTATTGAAATTCTTTTTTTGAAAATGGCGGTTCGATTTGGTTTATGAATGCGTGTTTGATATGTTTAAGCTATGATGATTTTTATTGAATATATATATTATAGATTTGAATTCCTTAGCTCTTGTAGGATTATCTGCAAAAAATTTTTTCATACTAATGTTCCTTCCTGCCTATTGCCTCAAAATACTTCTGAAATGCTTTCCATGATTTATAGGAGATTAAATCCATTTTGCTAATATGATCTAAATTGGCTTAAAATTGCTATGATAGGTAGATAGATAAATTATAGATATATAGAAAGAACAATATATTTGATATCAATTAAGACCAAATATTTACATTTCAACTTAGAAATATAATGCTATTTAAAATAAAATATAATATTATAGATGGCGCTAAATATCATGGAGATTAAAACTACAATTTAACATAACTTAAATACTTCCGAATTTGTTAATATTAATTAAATATTATTAAGAATTACTCGCTATTTAAGTAGGACAAACGTCCAATAATTAATAAAGAAGTTGAATATTACATAATATATTAACAAAATTATAATTGACTATTATCAGGTAAAATAATTGACTATATAATGTCACAGTTGTGACTGTGACTGCTATAATCATTTAGATTGGACAAATAATATTAAAAAGAAAACTATTGGCTAAATTTGATTGACATTTTTTGAGGATTATATATATAGATAGATTCGTAAAAGCTAATTTATTTATTTTCTAAAAAAAAAAAAATTTAAATCATAATTTTAATTTGATCCTTTGGTTTTATATCATCAAAAAAGGTTGTCATTGAATGCATTTCAATTAATAAAAAATTAGCGCTAAATTTAAAAGTAGCGCAAAATCAAATATTTTGAGCTATATTCATCAAAATCTGTATTTAACGAAGCACTATTTCAAAATCTCGCGAAACACAAAATAATTTGTGTTTTGAAAAAATCGCAGCGATTTGCTTTCGCGTATCAAATCGCGCGATCGGTAACTATAAATGCGATATCATATTTACTGTATTTTGTATTTATCGCGTCTAAATCGCAATCGCAATCGCGCCACTATGAATTCAGGATAAGTTAATTTAAAAAATTTTTAAATATATTATAAGTTTATTTAATATTTTAAATATATTTATAGTTAATTTTATATTTTAAATATAATTATAGTTAATTTTATATTTTAAATATAATGTAAGTTATTTATATATTGATTCCCAAAATTTCTAAATGTTATATATTCAAAATTTATAATATTTATAATCTAATTTTTGTAACCTTACCTATTATTACTTTTTGTTTTTCGTTTAGAAATTTATATTTGTAATCTAATTTTTATAACCTTACCTATTATTACTTTTTGTTTTTCGTTTTGATTATATGTATTCTAATTTATATTTTCAGATAATATATATATAGTGTGTGTACGAAGATAAAAAGATGATAATAATAAAATATATTTTTACTTACGCTCACCATAATTCTTGTTCTCTTCACTAAATAAGTTAATTTAAAAAAATTTTAAATATATTATAAGTTTATTTAAAATTTTAAATATATTTTAGTTAATTTTATATTTTAAATATAATGTAAGTTATTTTAATATTGATTCCCAAAATTTCTAAGTAAGTTAATTTAAAAAATTTTTAAATATATTATAAGTTTATTTAATATTTTAAATGTATTTATAGTTAATTTTATAGATTTTTAAACATAATGTAAATTATTTTAATATTGATTCCCAAAAATATTGTTAGTTAATTCAAGTAACTATGAAGATTAAAGAAGTTATGGAATATTTAGATAAAATATCTTTAAATTCAAAAAAATCAAATCACAGTAATTTTTCTTCTATTATCTAACTAAATTGTTTTATAATGTCAATAAAGGATAACATTATTATTAATCCAAATATTTATAGTCAGGTTTGCCTGAAGTGGTATACGTCAATTTCAAAATTTATAGTTATTATATTTTTGTTATATAAACTTTATCATTGTTTCGTCACTGATATTTTATTTATATAGTTAACATGCATTAAACCTCCTTTTCATTTTTAATAGTCATATTTATATATCGCAATACAAATGTTTAATTATTATAATCGCGATCGAAATGTATTATTTTTAAAAGAGTTTACAAAAGATTAAAATTTTATATATGATATTAATAATAAATGATTCCCTAAAATTATTATTAGCGTGCCACATAAATAATAGAATAAGTTTTAAAAGTCAGACTTTTGAATAGTTAGAAAGATGACTATTATATGATAGAGTTAAGAAATCCAACTATAAAATAGGATTTATGGTTATTATTATAATTGTAACAATATCGGAAAATAGGTAAGTTAAAACTTATGAACTAATTTTATTTCAGGATATATCTTTTTAAATATTAGGTAAATAAAATTTAATTTAATGAGAAAGTAATATATTGTTTATTCAAAGTTGGGCAGTACCGCAAATAATCTAAGATACAAGATCCTTTTGTATCTAAGATACAATTTTGTATCTAAGATACAAGATCCTTTTGTATCTTTATCTTGTATCTTTTTGACATTTTGAAAAAGATTCTAAAATTCCTTTTTTCATCAAGAATCTATATCTGTATCTAGATTCTTTTTCCGTAGGACCTCCCCAACTCTATGCTTATTCTATAAACTAAAAAGTCGACTAAGAGTTCAACATTTCCTTTGGTTCACAAAAAATAGATTTTATGGTTATCTTACTCAATGTTATTAAAAAAATATTAGGGAATTTTCAAATAATTACACTAAAAATAAATAAATAAATTAGATAAGATATTATATATTTTATAGTGATGTAAATAATATATAATATTTAAGGATCTTTACTTTAGGTATCATTTATAATATTCATCATAATTTAATAATGAAATACAACAGTCTTAAAACCATAAATTTTGAACAGGATCGTTCACATTATATTTCATTTGAGCCATGGTATTGTTAATTCTTCTGTTTCTGAGCTTAAAGATATACTTTAAATATTTTATAGATGTTTGATTGTATTCATTAAAATTTCATATAAATAACTTAATATATATTGTATTAGATTACAAAATAAAAGCTATTTAATTTATTATAAAATTTAATGAGTTATCAAATTTATTTTAATTCAATTTATACTTTATTATGCAAAAAAATAGATTCATTTTTATATATTGATTAAAATTTTTATTATGATATTTGATATAATTAATATTATATCAAAGATATATATAATATATTTGTGCTGTCTCTTTGCCAAAATATTGTAAATTATCTGCAATTTATTTTTAGTATATACTGTTCTTGTATTAATATAAATATTAATTACCATTTAGCAATTTCTATTTATATTTAAATATTATATTTTTTTAGCTCTTTTGCTTTTCGCTCTTTCGTACCGAAGGTAAGAGACCTAAATAGCGAGCATCAAAATAGCGAAAAATGAGAATAATCACAATAATACTCAGAAGAATATTCACAAAAATGGCCGCCATATTTTTGATATGATTCCAACTGTAGCTGATAATCTTAAAAATTATCTTAAATATAAACAACTTGAAATAAAAGTAATAAACCATTTTTTTTTGTTTTCTGCAAACAGAAGAAAAAGGACTATATATGCTACTAAGGGCATGAATATTTGGCCCATACAAGTGGTAAAAAGGCCGTTTACCTTACTTGTCGCAAAAGATGTGGTGGTAGAGCCAAATTAATGATTGGTCTCGATTTAATTATCACCATCCAACATTCTTTAGAATGTCAAAACTTGGTAGCAGCCATAACTCCTAATGCAAATCAAGGTATCCTTACAATAATTTTAACATTGATTTAAAGATTTAGCATTAGCCCCTCCACCTTCAAGTTCAGTTGGCCTAGCCATTACACATCAAGGTATTTATGATATACTTTTATTAAAATTAACTTAAAATTATTAGCCCAAGTTTCAATAGCCCCTCAAATTTCCAATGCAAATCAAGGTATTTATATATATATATATATATCCTTACAATAATTTTAACATTGATTTAAAGATTTAGCATTAGCATTAGCCCCTCCACCTTTAAGTTCAGTTGCAGCTATTACACATCAAGGTATTTTTAATATACTTTTATTAAAATTAACTTAAAATTATTAGCCCAAGTTTCAATACCCCCTCAAATTTCCAATGCAAATCAAGGTATGTATATATATATATATATATCCTTACAATAATTTTAACATTGATTTAAAGATTTAGCATTAGCCCCTCCACCTTTAAGTTCAGTTGCAGCTATTACACATCAAGGTATTTTTAATATACTTTTATTAAAATTAACTTAAAATTATTAGCCCAAGTTTCAATAGCCCCTCAAACTACCTCTGGCTTTGCCAGAGCCTATCAAACCTTTATTTCAAATCTAGGTAATTCAGGAACTTATCAAGATATAAATGTTGGCATTGAAAGTATCTTATACATTAATTTACAATATCTAAAATATATTTATAGGTAATACGGATCTGCCTTTAGAAGTGGTCCATGTATTAATGGATTTACATCAAAATATAAATGGTAAAAATATATTTATAAATGGCTTTAATTAAATACATATTGTCACATAATATTATAACCCTATATATTAATATAGCATAGAGATTTTTTAAATTGTTTTTAGGCATGACCTTGAAATAATTTTAAAATATTTTAACATATCTTTAAATGATAAGTTATTTATTTGCTCGAATTTTTTTTAAAGTATCTTGTTTTGTCTGATTTTTCCTTTAATGTTTGAGCCCTTATTAATATATAATTTTTCTATTTATTAAGATCCCCGGTTTGTAAAATCTCAAAAAGGAAAACCGCTTCTTTTTTTTCAAGATTATTTGTATCGACAGGATTATCAAAAAGATAATAAAATACATTATCGTTGCAGGAAAGTTGGCTGCAAGGCTTCATGCAAATTCGATGTTATATACATTACTTCTGGATTGCATGAACATCAAAATGAAATTGATATTTTTGAAAAGTTAAGAACTCATGAGATTCTAGAGGATATAGTTGCCGAAATCCTTTAGAAACAAGGCATAATATTTATGAGAAAGCCATAAATAAAAGATTTTTGGAAACCCCAAATATAAATTTCTATCCGGAGGCGATGACCTCATTTATTTCGTTAAAAAGTACCATCGATCGATTATTACAAAAAAATAGGCCATATTTGCCACAATCCGTAGATAGCATAGTTTTATTGTCCGAATATATCACCACAAATAGGGGTGATATATTTTTAATTAATAATGATGATAATAATAATAATAAACTATTGGTATTTGGGACATGTAGCATGTTAAAGCTCATAGAAACGTGTGATAATGATACCATATATATGGATGGTACATTTTACGTTGTACCACGACTATATTACCAGTTGTATACAATTCACGTCTTGTATCAGGAGACAATGATACCTATTGTATATGCCCTCCTTCCCGACAAAACAAGAGCCACCTATATAGATTTATTTCAAATTATTCTAAGGTGCTGCGCCGAGAATAATATCATATTTAATCCTAGATACGGGCAGACTGATTTTGAGGCGGCTGCAATATCAGCTCTAGGATTTGTTTTTCCTAATATGGTGATTAAAGGTTAATTTATTACGTAAATTTATTATAAGTTTTTATAGGCTGTTTCTTCCATTTTTCGCAAGCCATATGGCGAAATGTCAGGCATTAGGCTTAACAGTAGAATATAGGGACAATTCTACTGTTCACAAAGTAGTCAGACGTATGACTACCTTACCCTTTTGCCGTGAGGAAGATATCTCCCGAGTACGATCATCGTGTCTTGCCATGTCAGTTGAAAATCCTCTGCTATTAAATTTTATGCAATATATGGATCTGACATGGCTTTCCATTAATGCTTTATTTCCCCATAGCATATGGACTAGGTATTTAAAAAATTAATGTATATATACAAAATAAATTTATAATTTAGATATCAAGTCAATGGTCCTAGAACAAATAACCATTTAGAGGGCTATCATCATAGCATCAAAAGAAAAACGTTATGTGCCCATCCTAACATTTATTCTTTAATTAACATTTTAAAAAGACATCAACACGCTTCTGAGATTAAATTAATTCAGATTAATAGCGGGTTGAATGTCAATCGTAAAAATCGTAAATATATTCAATTAAATATTTTAATACAAAGTCTTACTTCCCTTTATGATCGAAATATGGATGTATATGTTTTTTTAGATAATTCTAATTTAATTAAATTGCAATCTTAAATCGCGCTTTCTTATATTTTTATAAATCTTTTGCCATATATTATATATTTTATTTACATAATCTTTAGTTTTATATTATGTTAATATAAAGCATAAATTTAAAAATATAATTTTCGCGCATATTATATACTTCAGTAATAAAGTAGTTATTTATATTATTAACCTAAAAATAATACACGTTAAAGTGGTGTATATATGTTTTTTAAAATTAAGTAAAAATTATACACTTAATTTATTATACATAAGAATTTAATTAAAAAAATAAGTGATTTTATACATAACTCATCATATCCTATTTATTTTTATATTTAATTTTAAATATAATTTGTATGTATTTTTGAGAGGGAAACATTTTAGGTTACTTAGTTTTCAGTTTTTAATAATAATTTGCTTCTTATCCGCGTCTTAGTGAGAGAAAAAAAATACTCCCTATCTCCCACCTTAAAAATATGTTTTACTCCATATCCCTACAGGATATTTGAAGGAATTTGCACGATAAGATATTCGACGATCGCGAACAACAAAAATAATGGATTTCTCAGAGAGAGGAATGTTATAGATATTAAAAAATAATATTTTAATATTAGCTAAAATAATATTTTAATATTAGCTAAAATAATATTTTAATATTAGCTAAAATAATATTTATAGTAAATTTAAATAATAATTATAATAAATTTAAATAATTATTATAATAAATTACAAAAATATAATATAACATAAATTTAAATAAATTATAATATTATTTAAAATAAATTAAAATATTTACCAATTAAAATAATTTATGATATATATATAAATTATAATAATCGTATGACCTTTTCGAGAATTATATTTTTATAATTTTCAAAAGAATTAAACTCTGAAGTTTCAATATAAATAAATATATATTTATAATTATACAATAATCATAGAATATAAAGATAATTTAAATATAAATATATATTTTATAATTTTATGATAGCTAATATTAATATATAAAAATTATAGGTAAAATAGAAAAATATTGAATGCTAATAATTTATAAAACACTATAATATTAATATATAAAAATTATATGGGTAATATTATTGAAAAATAATAGTTTTATAATACTAAAAAGATTTATATATTATAATTTATAAATTATAAAATATTATAATATTAATATACAAAGTAAAATAATTTATATATATATAAATTATTTTACTTTGTTAATATTTTAAAAAATATTATTTAAAATGGGTAAAAATAGGTAATTATTTATCAACATTCATTTAATTTATCGCTATTGATACGCGCTATTGGGTTTCATTAGCTGATATTTACACAACTTGCAAGGAAGAACATGTTCCTGAAGATTCTGATTTAATTTTAATTAATCAAGTAAGAGATAAATGTTTTAAAATTGTTTTACGAGTTTCGTCACTTTTATAGCTACCATAATCTATGCTGTTTAGCGCACTAGTAGCTAGCGCCGCCATTTATATAGAATAGCCATAGCTAAAAATTAGGGGAATCTTGAGAGGAGATTGTATAACAGGCAATGAAAATATTTAATACATAACTTATAATATTCGATTTATTTTTAATATTTTTGATATGAAAAAATTGTAGTTTAATTAGTTTTAATTTTTCTATAAATTAGGATTTGCTCCTTTTATGTCCATAAGAAAAAAAAAATTCCCTCCTATCTCAACTCTAAATTATTTTTTACTTACTATCCTTAAAGGCTATATTAAAACATTTACCCCCCCCCCCAGCGTCTACGTGAATGGGGAGGGGTAGTAACAGTTCACATCCAATATTTTGAGCAGGGTAAGGGGTAGGCTCCTGGGGATAAGACAGCGTCTACATGACAGGATTTTCACTGGAGGCAAACCCCCTTCAAAAACCTTTGCCTACCTCCCCTAAAAAAATCGTCACCTTCGGCGGCGGTGTCTTTTTATCATTATTTTCACTTATTTATTTATTGATACTCTTTTCAAAGAATTTATAAAGGATAACTTAAATAATTTATCTCTACTACCAACTATCGATATTTTGTGAATATAAAGAATTTATTTTTTAGATAATAAATTCAATTAAAACCTCCATTATTTACAATGAACTAATTATTATGGCATTATGAGCTTGCTAAAATATATAAACCTTTTAAATTACATTTAAAAGGATAGTTTATTTGGGAAACAATGTGTATGATTGTTTGCAATATATAGATTTGGTCGATGAATTGTATTATAATAATACTATAATAAAAGTATTTTATAGCAATAAATTTTGTCCTATTTCATCTCAAAATTTAATAGATAAACCCCCCCTCCCCAAAAATTTTTTTTATCCTACCCCCATAAGAGCAGCTTACCCTCTCAAAAAAATAGGATGCAAACTGTTCCTACCCCTCCCGCTCATGTAGACACTGGGGTAGGATAAATATATTTGGAAATTATTTATTAATTTTTAGATAAAATAGGAAAAAATATATTGCTGTAAAAATTTATCCTTTTTTTTGTTTCAGTGATATTGTGGCAATCTATGTCTCTGAATAATTTCTGGGCGAAAGTAAATTAATGATATTATGTAGTACTGTTGGAGTAAATGTTGAGTTTTTTTATTTTAGAGTTGAAAATCGTAAAATTGTAATATAAATGTTTATAATATAATAACAATAACCAACATCTACATGGTAAAAAATTTGATGGATGCAAACCCCTTTCCAAAATCTACCCCTACCCCCTAAAATATATCGCCCTTCGGTTGAAAAATTTTCCAATCCACAATGCATTAGTGATATTAATAAAAAGAATATTACAGTAAGCCACCATATACAACCTTATAACTTTCTATTAACAATATTTTAAGCCTTAGGAGATAAAGATTTTGAAATTTGTAGGTTATAATAAATATGTTACTATCCTTTTTCTAAAAATAGGAAATAAATATATATTTTAATAGTGCAATCATTTTATCATTTGGTTGATAATCACTTTATTTTTATATTAAGTGTGATAACGCATTTTCATTTCTATAAAAAACGATCTAAAATATTGTAAAAAATATAAGATGATTAATTTTTAAAGAGGTATATTTGGTTTATCAATTATTGGATTTAAAAACATCATAATACAAGTAAAGATTACCATTCAAAAAAAAATACTTACCCCCAAAAATTAATGCCTACCTCCAAAATTTTAATATTGAAAAATTATAGTTATTATTTATAATAGATATATGTGCTCATTTATAATTTAAACCAATTTATATATTGATACATTTTATATAATAATAATATAATATTATAAGATAAAAATTATGTGTTATATACATTTATAATAATAGTTTCATAATAAAAAAATAATAAAATAATTTTTACAACAGTATTAATATATTATAATTATGTAATAAAATGATTTATATATCTATAATTTTTAAAATGATTTATATATTTATTATTTTTAAAATAATTAACATTTTTTTTAAATATTATATTTTAGTATTTTTATGGTTTTCATTCATTTAATATCTCGCTATTTTGCTGAGGGTAAGAGACCTAAATAGCAAGTATCATAATAGCCAAAAATGAGAATATTTACACTAATACTCACAAATATTCACAAAAATGGCCGCCATATTTTGATATGATTCCAACTGTAGCTGATAACCTTAAAAATTATCTTAAATATAAACAACTTGAAATAAAAGTAATAAACCATTTTATATATTTATAATTTTTGTTTTCAGCAAACACAGAAGAAAAAGTAATATATATGCTACTAAGGGCATGAATATTTGGCCCATACAAGTGGTAAAAAGGCCGTTTACCTTACTTGTCGCAAAAGATGTGGTGGTAGAGCCAAATTAATGATTGGTCTCGATTTAATTATCACCATCCAACATTCTTTAGAATGTCAAAACTTGGTAGCAGGCATAACTCCTAATGCAAATCAAGATATCCTTACAATAATTTTAACATTGATTTAAAGATTTAGCATTAGCCCCTCCACCTTCAAGTTCAGTTGCCCTGGCCATTACACATCAAGGTATTTTTAGTATACTTTTATTAAAATTAATTTAAAATTATTAGCCCAAGTTTCAATAGCCCTTTAAACTTCTAATGCATATCATGGTATTTATATATATATATACAATAATTTTAACATTGATTTTAAGATTTAGCATTAGCCCTCCACCTTCAAGTTCAGTTGCCCTAGCCATTACACATCAAGGTATTTTTGTATACTTTTATTAAAATTAACTTAAAATTATTAGCCCAAGTTGCCCCTCAAACTTCTAATGCAAATCAAGGTAATTTATATATATATATATCCTTACAATAATTTTAACATTGATTTAAAGATTTAGCATTAGCCCCTCCACCTTCAAGTTCAGTTGCCCTAGCCACACATCAAGGTATTTTTTGTATACTTTTATTAAAATTAACTTAAAATTATTAGCCCAAGTTTCAATAGCCCCTCAAACTTCTAATGCAAATCAAGGTATTTATATATTTATCCTTACAATAATTTTAACATTGATTTAAAGATATAACATTAGCCCCTCCACCTTCAAGTTCAGTTGCCCTAGCCATTACACATCAAGGTATTTTTTGTACACTTTTATTAAAATTAACTTAAAATTTTTAGCCCAATCTTCAATAGCCCCTAAAACTTCTAATGCAAATCAAGGTATTTATATATATATATATCCTTACAATAATTTTAACATTGATTTAAAGATTTAGCATTAGCCCCTCTACCTTCAAGTTCAGTTGCCCTAGCCTTACATATTAAGGTATTTTTTGTATACTTTTATTAAAATTAACCAAATCAAGGTATTTATGATGTTTTTATTTATAACATTAACTTATATTTATTAGCTCCACAAATTACAAATTTTACATTAGCCCCTCAAACTTTTGGTTTTGCCATAGCCTTTCAAACTTTTATCTCAAATCAAAATAATTCAGGTGCTTATCATGTTATTAATTCAGATGTTGGAATTGAAACTATTCAATACACAAATTGACAATTACTAAATTATATGTATAGGTAATTGTGATCTCCCTTTAGAAGTAGCCAATGTGTTAATAGATTTACATCAAAATATTAGTGGTAAAAATATGTTTATAAGGCTATTTTTTTTTAATTTAAAAAAATAAAATTAAATATAGAATGTGACATATTATAGTAACCCTTGATGTATAATATAGCTAGGCTATTTTTTAATTATATTTAGGCATGACCTTGGAATAATTAAAAAAATATTACATCTTTTTTAAAGATAAATAATAAATCAATAATTATTTATTTGCTTTATTTATTTTTTTAAGTATCTGGTTCTGTCTGATCTTTGCATAAATATGAGAGCTCCATATTAATCATATTAATATATGATTTTTATATTTATTAAGATCCTCAATTTATAAAATGTCAAAAAGGAAAACTACTTCTCTTTTTCCAAAATTATTTATATCGATATGCTTATCAAAAAGATGATAGAATACACTATCGTTGCAGAAAGGTTGGCTGCAAGGTTTCATGTAAATTTGATGGAATTTACACAACCTCTGGTTTGCATGAACACCAAAATGAAATCAGTCAGTTTGAAAAACTGAGAACTCACAAGGTTCTAGAGGATATTGTTGCCGAAAATCCTCTAGAGACAAGGCACAATATTTATGGAAAGGCCTTGAATAATAGATGCCTGGAAACGCCCTCCATCGAAATGTATCCAGAGGCAATGCCCTCATTTGTTTCAATTAAGAGTACAATTGACAGATTGTTACAAAAAAATCGGCCCATTTTGCCTCAATCTGTGGATGAACTAGTATTATTACCAGAATACATCACCACAAATAAGGGGGAGATTTTTTAAATTAATAATGATAATAATAATATGCTGGTGTTTAATACATGTGAAATGCTAAAACTTGTAGAAATATGTGATGGTGATAGCATTTACATGGACGGCACCTTTTATGTTGTTCCTCGACTGTACTGTCAATTGTATAGTATCCATATAATGTATCAAGAAGTTATGATACCGATTATATATGCCCTCCTCCCCGATAAAAATAGAGGGACATATATTGAATTATTTCAAATTATCTCGCAATTTTGCTCGATGAAAAATATCCGATTCAAACCTCGATTTGGACAAACTGATTACGAGGCCGCAGCTATATCGGCACTTAGGTTTGTTTTTTCCAATATGTTCATAAAAGGTTTATTTATAACATTGTATATTATAACTAAAAAAATTTAGGCTGTTTTTTTCACTATTCCCAGGCTCGCGTAAATGTCCGGCGCTGGGTTTAGTTAGCAGTTATTTGCATAATACTACTATTCATAAAGTTGTTAGACGAATGACCACTTTGCCGTTTTGCAAAGAAGAACATATTTCCGAGGTACGGGCATCATGCCATGCTCTGTCTGCTGAATATCCTTTGCTCAAAAATTTTATGGATTTTACATGGCTCGGAGTTAATGCCATATTCCCCCGAAATATATGGACCAGGTAATTAAAACATTTAAATATTAAATTTACTTATAATCAATTTAGGTATCAGGTTGACGGCCCTAGAACTAACAACCACCTGGAGGGGTATCATCATGCCCTCAAGAGAAAAACAAACGTGGCTCATCCGAATATTTATTGTCTGATAAATATTTTAAAAAGACATTAACATTCGAGTGAGCTTAAGGTCTTACAAATTAATAGTGGGTTGAACGTGAGGAGAAAAAATAAAAAATTCGATCAATTAAATATTAACATTGATAATCTAACTCGTATATACGAGCGTACAAATGAAATATATCCTTTTTTAGATAATGTTTCATATTTTATAAAACAACAATCATAACCCGTTATTTATATTTCTTTTATATATTTACATTTTTATTATTATCTTGCTATATATTGTATACTTTATTTACATTTTTATAATTATTTTGTATAATAATGTAACTTTAATATAAAAATTTATAAATAATTTTTTTTCATGCATATAGCATACATATTTCAGTAATAAAAATACTTATTTAGTAGATGCTTTGACCTAAAATTGTTGCTTATAGAGGGCAATGACGTATAATAATACATAAACTGATGATTCATTCATTAAACCTTTCTTAAAATGTATAGTCGTAACATTATGTAAATATATTTTTAACTGCTTGTAAAAATTTTGATAAAATACGAATCCTTTGGGTGAAAATTTTTATAAAAAGAAAGATCAAAGCATTTAAAAGAGTTTTTTATTCTGCCAAAATATTGTAAAAATTATAGAATCTTTATAAAATTCTATTGACTCACAGGATTGTTTAACACGCATGTTCAAGTGGTGTCTTATGATTCTTTTCCGATTTGGGTTGATTTAAAAAAAATATTTTTTTGTGAGTGTTTATTTAGTCTTCATTTTTCTAATAAATTATATCAGCGTCTACCTCTACATGAGAGAAAAAAACCCAAACTCCACCCGAAAAAGATTTTTTACTGCCTATCCCCAGGAAGCATACACTCTAATTCTGAAATAAAAATAATATATATTTATACTATTTCTAAAAAATTACTATTATTTTTACTACCTTAAAATTTACAAGAGTGAAGCAAATTTAATATTATCTATTTTTTAAAATAAATAAGGAGAAAATCATGCGAATGTAATTTTACTTATAAATAATAAGTGTTGGGGAAGTAAATAAAAAAATGCCTATTTTTTAAATAAATAAAAGAGGTTGAGAATATTTTTATATTATATTTTTATCTGTGTCTAATAATTGCAAATTGTATTATTGAAAATTTATCAAAAATGATTTAATTTAAGAATTTTTGATGTGAAGCAATGGATTATTAATAGGAAGATAAAAACCAAAAGGATTAATATGAAAAATATGAATGGCTCACTGGATGTGGATTTTCTATATCCTTATATTGTTGGTCGCCTATTATTCTTGAAGGAAAAATATGTTTGGATATGAATAATTTTTTAAAGGCAGTTTTACAGCATGAAGAATCAACCGCTTATTTGAAGTCGATAATTCAATTAAAATCATTTGCCAAAAATTTAATTAAAAATATGATAGATTCCAGGCGCAAAATATGAAAACAAGGACTAATTCTGCTTATTTATAAATATTAATTTTTTGTATGGTTAGACTTATAAAAGAAAAAATGATTTTCTATTGCTTCCCTGTTAGTATTTAATGCTTCGTCACTGTCTGAAGATTTTGCGTATAGATGGCAAGAAGATTTGTTAGGTTACATAAAATTATTTTGAATAAAATCTTATGGGGCCATTTTAAAAAATCGAAAGCGGGCTTTTAATAACACTAATTACTTAATAAAGAATTAAAATATTTATATATAATAATAATTAAATAGTATAGCCATAATTTACAAAATTCTAATATTTATTTTAGATTATATAATTAAAGTTTTATAATATATACTACAACTTTTTATATAATTAATCGTTTAAAAATTGTATAAAAATCAGTGACGTAGCGTCCATAGAAGCAAGGGAAGCAGGGAGGCATTGCTTCCCTTGAAATTTTTCTTATAAAATTTTTAAATAAACTTAATATAATCTTTTTACTATGCTAAATAAACTAAACTGACTTCGTTAAAAAAATTAACATAATTTTTATAACTTAAAAATATTAATATAATTTTTATAACCTTAAAAAAATAATATTATTTTTAGTATATTAAGAAATACTATTATTTTTACTACGTTAAAAATGTTACTATTATTTTTACTACGTTAAAAAAAATATACATGAGGGAAGCAAATTTAATATTGCTTATTTTTTTAATAAATAAAGAGAAAATCATGTTATGGTATTGTGTAATTTTACCATTAAAATATAAGCATTGGGGAAGCAAATTAAAAAATGCTTATTTTTTTAATAAATAAAAGGAAATTTTTTATTTAATATTTTTTTCCTTACTTTTTTAAAATAAAAAATTTTTCGTTTTTAAAATCCTTAATTAATGTTTAATAATTGTACAGGATGAGCCAAAATCCATTATTAAATCTATCTTTGATTTCGATTGAAAAAAAATTATTAAAATTTAAAATCTATTTTTATTATGCAGTACTTGATCATTTTACTCAAAAATAAGATGAATACCACTTATTTATAAATCTTAATGTTTTTATGGTTTGAGTTTGACTAAAATAATAAATTTTTTTGATTGCTTCCCTATTAGTAAACTTGACGCTTCGTCACTGATAAAAATTATATGGGGATATATTTATAATTATATAGCAATAGTCTCATAATATTTAATGATTTTTATATTAATAATTTATAATTACATATTAATAATTTATAAAATTATTTATATATTAATAATTTAAACTTCTTTACATTTTCATCATTTAATATTTCGCTATTTTGATAATCGCTATTGGGTTTAGTTAGCTTATATTTGCATAACTTTGCCATTTTGCAAGGAAGAACATGTTCCTGAAGTACAATCATCATGCCATGCTCTGTCTGCCGAATATCATTATTCTGCTTTACCGTTTTAATAAATCAAATGAGAGATAAATGTTTTTCATTGTTTCCCTCGTTTGGTCACTGTTATAGCTATTCACCATAAGCTATGTTAAAAGTAGCGCGCTACATTTTTTAAATAGCGATAGTTAGTTACTTTACTTTTATAAAAATAGTAGCTAATTAATAGCGCTGCCATTTATTTAGAGTAGCCATAGCTAAAAAAGAGGGGAAGCTTGAGAGGATATTGTAGAACAATCTCTGAAAATATTTAATACGTAACTTATTAGGTTTATTTTTAATATTTAATTATAATTTTTTATAGGAAAAAATTGTAGTATAGTTAGTTTTCATTTTTCTAATAATTTATGATTTGCTCCTTATCAACGTCTACATAGAGAAAAAAAAACTCTTACCTCCTACCCAAAAATGATTTTTTATTCACTATTCATAAAGGCGATATGATGACATGTACCTTCTCCCCAGCATGTCGCTATTGCTTCTTATTAGTATTCTCCTTTATTTAATATAAATTTTAATATATAAATTTGTAATTATATTATAATACCCCCCCCCCCCCCCCTCATATAATATAGAAATGATTTAAATACGATTGCAATATACATGTTTTTAATATCATATAATAAACATATTATTAATATGGATAAATTATAGTTAAAATTTATAAAAGATATATGTGTTTATTTATAATTTAAAACAATTTATATATTAATAATTTATAAAATACTATAATATTATTAGATAAAAATTATGCCTAATATATTTTATAATAACAGTTTTATAATATTAAAATGATTTATATATATATAACAATTTATACAACACTATTAATATATAAAACTTATATATGTAATAATATAATTATATAATTAAAATAATATAATAAAATGATTTACATTTTAATAATTTATAAAATAATTTATATATTATTAGGCTTCTTGAGATTTTCATTCATTTAATTCCTTGCTATTTTGATTCTTGCTATTTAGAGGTGGAACCCGTACCGAATTATTAGAAAAGATCCTGAAAATCGGCAAAAGTAATCCTGATTTTGAGTGTACTTTATTATTATTATTATAATGGAGCAAAATTTGCCAGAATCAAAATCACTGAGGTAAATATAACATAATTAAAATATCCTTAATAAAAAATAGATCATTTAAAATTTTAGGACCAACACCAAATTTTAAATTTGGACCAAAAGCATGCCTGTTAGAAACTATATCAAAAGAAAACAACATAATGTAAAAAAACAAATCCCATTATTTTAATTTCTATCTAGAAATTTACCTTATTCATCTTGTCAAATATTGAGATGGGATTCACCACCAAGAACTATCTTGATCATTAAAAAATTGGGAGATACATCAATCAATGAAGCCTTTTTCCAAATGATTACATGGTTGATTAAAGTATTTTTTAATAATACCAAAGAAAATATGGATTATATTTTAATTAGGAATATGATATGAATATTCTTGTGGAAAAAAGTGTTATGGAAGAAGAATTACTTAAAGAGAAGATGGCCAAGGCTGATATTAGTTCAAAAATATCTACCTATATTAAATGTTTGTTTATAAAATATATTATTCTTAAAATATAATTAGATCACTGCAATCTAAATAATAAAGTTGATTTTATTATATGTTTGGGTGGAGATGGCACCTTACTTTATGCATCATCTATATTCCAAGTTACTTACATTTTATATAATATATTTTTTGTCTATAGTATAATCATTAGTATTACTTATATTCCAAGCTGATAACATGATGGTAATGATATATTTATGTCTAATGTCATTCTATTTGTTATTATTTAAAAAATTAAGGGAACTAAAATACGCGTCCCCGAAAACTACGCGTCCCCAGTCAAAACGACTTATTTTTATTATTATTAATAGAAAATCTTATTAAGCTTTATAATATGAGTTAGAAAATGTTTTTTTTAATTTAAAAAAAATACGGTAACTAAATAAAATTTATAAAAATTTATTTTTTTTGGCTAAACTATGCGTCCCCGGTCAAAATACAGTTTTTTTAAAAAAATCAAAACGGATTCATATTTAGCTCATTAAAAGAATACAGAATATGTAAATATTATATTTTAAACTATTTAATAACTTAGTGATTTTTTCAAAAAACACCTTTTTTTTCAAAAACACTACGCGTCCTCGATCAAAAAACCGTTTTTTTTTAAAATAAAAGCAGATTCATGTTTAGCTTTTCAAGGAGATTCAGAAAATGGTATTAATAAAAAAAATTTAAAAAAAAAATTTTTTTTTGGCTAAACTAGGCGTCCCTACGCGTCCCCGGTCAAAATACAGATCACTAAGTTATAAAATAGTTTATATAATATTTACATATTCTGTATTCTTTTAATGAGCTAAATATGAATCTGTTTTGATTTTTTTAAAAAAACTGTATTTTGACCGGGGACGCGTAGGGACGCCTAGTTTAGCCAAAAAAATTTTTTTATAATATTTACATATTCTGTATTCTTTTAATGAGCTAAATATGAATCCGTTTTGATTTTTTTAAAAAAACTGTATTTTGACCGGGGACGCGTAGTTTAGCCAAAAAAAAATTTTTTTTTATTAATACCATTTTCTGAATCTCCTTGAAAAGCTAAACATGAATCTGCTTTTATTTTAAAAAAAAACGGGTTTTTGACCGGGGACGCGTAGTGTTTTTGAAAAAAAAAAGTGTTTTTTAAAAAAATCACTAAGTTATTAAATACTTTAATATATAATATTTACATATTCTATATTCTTTTAATGAGCTAAATATGAATCCGTTTTGATTTTTTTAAAAAAACTGTATTTTGACCGGGGACGCGTAGTTTATTAAAAAAATTTTTTCGAAAAATTTTTTTTATTAATACCATTTTCTGAATCTCCTTGAAAAGCTAAACATGAATCTGCTTTTATTTAAAAAAAACGGTTTTTTGACCGGGGACGCGTAGTGTTTTTTAAAAAAATCACTAAGTTATAAAATAGTTTAAAATATAATATTTACATATTCTGTATTCTTTTAATGAGCTAAATATGAATCTGTTTTGATTTTTTAAAAAAAACTGTATTTTGACCGGGGACGCGTAGGAACGCATAGTTTATTTTTTAAAAAAATAAATTTTTATAAATTTTATTTAGTTACCGTATTTTTTTTAAATTAAAAAAAACATTTTCTAACTCATATTATAAAGCTTAATAAGATTTCCTATTAATAATAATAAAAATAAGTCGTTTTGACCGGGGACGCGTAGGGACGCGTAGTTTTCGAGGACGCGTATTTTAGTCATTCCCAAAATTAAGGATCACAGACCATATAAAAAATTATATGATTTTTTGATGACCATTTTTGATTTTTACGGCATTTAATATGTAAACTACGATTCATGTAGCCTTTAGCAAATTTTAGCCTCCTTTTGTAGACAGAAGCATAAAGAATGACCTTTTATGAGCAATTTTTATTTAATATTGATAAATATTTACATGCTTGTTATAAAATTTAGTATTAAAATAAAGCATTATTTTTAGAAAATATTTGAAAAATTTTGGGTTTCTTTTGCTCAGGGAAATATTTAACAACTTCTTACATATCTCCAATTTTAATAACATTTTTCAAAAAGATATAATACAAAAATAATTAATTATTTTTAAAAAATTTATTTTTTATGAATGTGGAAAATTAAATATATATATTAAACAATTTTTATAATAATATATAATAATAAAATAAAGTAATGCTTTGTTGTAACCATAGGGAAATTTTTGTAGCATGGTTTTTACAATCGGATGCCCTTCCTGACATCAACCTCTTTAAGTGGTTTTTACACCCCGTCGAGGAGACGGTGATCCTATTCTAGACCCAGATCACAGGGAACCTTTTAGACCTCCATTTGCCGCCAAAAGACGTTGCCACTCCCCCGCCACGATGAGGCTGAAGGTAGGATTATGAATGCATCAAAAACAAAGGTGATGATTGGTGGGGAAAATCTAAAGATAGAAGAATCAGGTAAGTGGCCTTGTGGTGTATGTGGGAAAGGAGTTGCTAGAAATTCTATCCAATGCACCAGATGCCAGAAATGAGTACATAAAAGATGTAGTGGGAAAAAAGGCAGTTTGATGTTAGAAAGAATGACCTTTATTTGTAAAACATGCATGAAAGGGATACATAATAATGATAACCTAAAAAATGGTGGTCTGGATATTGGCAATGGGTTAACCCTAGAAAAAGTGGATAAGTTTTGTTATTTAGGTGATATGCTAAACGCAGATGGTGGTGTAGATTCTGCTGTTGTTGCAAGGATCAGACAAGCTTGGAAGAAGTTCAGAGAGATGTCATCTATTCTTACAAATAAAAAAGTTTCTCTGAAGTTAAAGGGGAAAGTTTACGTAAGCTGCGTGAGGAGTTGTTTAGTTTATGGCGGTGAAACATGGGCAATGAAAGCAATTCACGAAGCCAAATTAGAAAGAACAGAGATGAGGATGGTTAGATGGATGTGTGGGGTATCTCTGAGAGAGAGAAAAACTAGCAAGGAATTGCGAGCAAGATTAGGTATAGAAATGATTGGTATGGTAATGCGACGAAATAGACTAAGATGGTTTGGGCATGTGGAACGTATGACAAGAGATGACTGGGTAAAGAGATGCACAATGATGGAAGTAGGAGGATCAAGACCTAGAGGAAGACCCAAGATGACGTGGACAAATGTGATAGCGGCGGATATGAGAAGCTTGAATCTTACAAGTATTGATGCTCAGGACCGTCAAAAATGGAAAAGAAAAATCAGAGGGAAAACTGGCCTACCCGGGTAAACCTGGAAATCGCCATAAAACGGAGAAGAAGAATAAAATAAAGTAATGAAAAAATTTCTGCAAGATGGAGCATTTTAAAAAATTTAATCTGTTTATTTTTTATATAACAAAAATAGCGGCTTAATTTACAACAGAATATATTTATATATTATAATATAAAATGGCATTCATTTAAAAGATCATTTTTTCAGCAAAAATAAGGCATCTTTTCCATATGTGTAAGCATTTATTTATATATTTCTTGTTTTTACTAATTAAATTCTTAAATTTTCTTAAACCTATAACAATCTTTATATAATGAAAATTAAGTTAAATCTGAATTATAATATATAATATCTTGAGTAAAAATATAATTTTAATAATATTTTTTAATATACAGATATGTTAATATCTCTGACTTTTTTATTCCTAACTTTATTATTATATAGAATAGGATGATTTTGAATAAAATAATGATTATTTTTTAAAATTATTTAAGTTTCCTATTAACAATAAGCCATTTTAAGTAAATAGACCCATACAGTTATAAGATAATTTTTTTTACAAACAAATACTCATGTCTCTGCATTGCACATTTTTCAAATGAATCTTTTTATCCAACATCTACAAATTTTATATTTTAATTAATCAATTAATTAAATGTGTTTTACAGGATTCAAAAAATTTTCCATTTACAAATTATTATCAAGCTAAATTTAAATGGCCAGCAATTTCAATGAAAGAATAGGTTTCTTTTAATCCATTACCTTTATTAATTCAATACAATACTATATTTAAATAACAATTAATTATAAGTTTTAATCTTAACGATAATGTGTTTTTTCTGGCAAAGTGTTATTTTTTCATCTTTAAATCTTTTTTTGAGCACGTTTTATTAAAATCTGATTTTATTAGAAATGTATTCCAGCATGCTTAGAATACCTATCTTATGAATTTCAGATAATTTTGCCATTATG